CCTCGGAGAGAGCAGGAAAATGAATTGACTAACAAATGTTTGCTGCGGGAAGGAATGTCTGCAGAAGTAAGAGAACAGGGCCTCCAGCTCACACCAGACAGGTGTGCGGGCAGGGCTGGGATGACTTCCTGGGGTCCGGCAGGCAGCTGGCCAGGCACATCTGGCCCTGGGTGCCTTGACCGACATGCGGGCCCAGGAGCAGAGACCCAAGTGTCTGCTGAACTTCTTCCCCTCTGCTCCGGCACAGCCCACCACCCCAGGAACAGGCTGCTCAGACTGGCTACAGGCTGTGCCCAGGTGGAGCAGGGCTGCCCCAGGAGTTAAGGTTAGGAATCCCCAAGTTAGGGGATTTTAAAGTAGCTCTGTGTGGTACTGCCTATTGACACCTCCAGTATTTAGTCAGCTCTTAAATCATGTCACTTGCCTCTCTTGCCTTCTCAGACCCAGCTTCCCTGGTCTTGAACCTTTACTGAGTACTTTCCTACAAAGAAGTGAAAGCCCTTTCCATGAGGGCCAAACCTGTGCTGCAAGGGGCTCGAAGCCCCTGGGGCCACACCAGGGGCTGGGCCTGGAGGCTGCTGGTCTGAGGCCTCCTCTTTCCCAGTTCCAAGCAGGCTCCCTTCTGCCAGCCCTGTGACAGGAGGGGACAGCTGCGGCTGCCTGCTCGAGCTATAAAAAGCCCCAACAAGCAAGCGAGCAGAGGACACACCGGGCGGACACTTGGAACTTCACTGGGCTAGGGAGGAGCTCGGCCCAACAGCCATGCTGAGGTTGGCCCCCACCACCAGGCTGCTGCAAGCCCCCCTGAGGGGCTGGGTGGTTCCCAAGGCGCACATCTCTGCCAAGCCAGCCAGAACTCCCACTTCCCCAAAGGTCAGTCCCCTCAAGGCAGCAGGGGTGGGGTGGGGGGAGTGGGGAGGTGAGGGGGTGGGAGGCGGCCCCGACCTGGGCAGGGGGAGTGGGCAGTCCTGAAATGTGCTCAGGATGAGGTGGGTTTAAGGGAGGACACAGAAGGGGAGAGGGTGTCCTCCCAGGGCTACCTGTAGAGGGGATCCTAGTGCTGGGTCTCAGTCCTTTGGCCGGAAGTGTCCCAAGTCCGGGAAAGGGTCCCTGCAGCTGCCGCCCGCAGGCCAGGCCCCAAAGCAGCCTGCAGAGTCAGCAGGGGTGGGGGGCTCTCCATTCTCAGGCCCCTACTTGCCTTCTGGCAAATGGCGGGTGCTAACAGCTGACCTTGGAGGGCGCTCAGTGGACCCTCCAGCTTCACCACCCGTTAAAGGCAGAGAGTGGGATGCTTTGAGGGTCAGTGAGAGCACAGGCGAAAACGTAAACCTGTGACCCTCAGGCTCCAGCAGAGCTCAACATCCGTTTCAAGCATAAATAAACCAGGGTCTAGAAGGTCACCTGCCCAAGGTCATAAGCCTAGATCTGAAGCCAGCCTGTGGTCCCTGTTCTAGGCCAACATCGCTTTTAAACCTCTGAGAGTGAAAGTCTAAAGGAAGGACTGGCCTCCATCTTGGTGTCCGAGTCACTTGGAGGAAGGGGAGGGGCGACTGGTCTGGGCTGTTTCAGGAGGAAACAATGACGGTGAAATACAGCTGGTGCCTCAGAGCCTGGCTGAGTGCAGCCACTGACTGCGCGGGGGTCCCGGTGGGATGGCCTCGCACACCTGCACACACTCAGCGTAAGGCGTTCCACCGCCTCCACCCAGACCCAAGAAAGGGCCCCAAACTTGTGACAAGTAACTTAACACTACACCTGACCACAAACGTCGGCAGGTAACCAGAAGGGAGGGTACACCCTGCCTGGTGAAAGGAGTTCAAGGTCACGGCACAGGCGGCCAGGCAGGCTCTGGGCAGGTGGGTGGGGCTGTGATGAGGGGCCTGACTCAGAGACTGGACCCCAAGGCTGCTCACCCTGGTCTCCGCACAGGCTGTCCTCTGACGACTGCAGTCAGCGGTCACTGCTCACAGCTCACAGGCTATCCCCACCTGACTCGGGAGAAGTCTGCGTTAACGGAGTAAACCCGGCTGGGCCCAGGGTCCAACAGGAGCTGAGGCGCAGGGCAGTCTGTCTAATTCTCCACTGCTGCTCCAGCAGGACCCGGGGACAGAGGCAGTCAGCCTGGGCCTAGTGGACTCATGTGCACTTCCTCACCCAGGAGCAGGCCATCGGGCTCTCTGCGGTGTTCTTCAGCTTCCTGTTCCCCGCGGGCTGGGTGCTGTTCCATATGGAGAACTACAAGAGGAGCTCCGTGGCGTGAAGGCGCTACCACCGCTGCTCCAGGCTCAGATCAGATTGTATTAAACCCCTCCTTCCACCTAATGTTCTCTTGGTAATTCTTTGTGTATGTGCACCCTCTGCCCCAATGCCCAGCACTGGGCAGTCTGAGGGCTGGCTCCAGTCAGCACTGGGCACTCAGGCTGTTGGCTGGGTGGCGGACTCCTTCAGAGGCAACAGACATCACATCTGAGTGACGACTAGGACAGGACTCATGTCCTTGGCGGCCGTGCCCACCGCCCTCTGTGCTGGCTCTGCCCTTGTCCCCAGTGGGCATGGCTGCCCTTCCCTCAGGGTAGAGGAGCAGGGAACCCAGGCCAAATTTCCACCAAGCCCTCCCTAGGTGCCATCCCCCGCTGACCTGGAAGCTAAGCCTAAGAAAACAGAACCCCAAAAAGCACAGAGCAAGGCATTTATTACAGACACATACTCAAACCACACTGGAAAAGATGTTCACACAGGTGGATGCGGTGGAGACCAGCCCTGGAGTGGGCACTCTCCACACTAGGGCTACTCCTTCTGACTCCTAGGGGCACCCACACACTTCTGCCTGCCTCATCACCCGAGACCCAGTGACCCCTTCCCACTGCAGGCTACAGTGACATCCACAAAGGAGGCTTCTGGCTGTGGCTGGGCCCCCCCATAAATGACGGTCCTGCTTTCAGAACAAGAAGAACAGTCTCTACTCCAGACTGAATCCCAACCCCCACCCCCAACCGAACTCAGATCTTCTCAACTGCCAGATTCATCGGCCATGAAACACGTCTCCACAGACAGGTCAGGACCAGGAGACTAGGTGAGGATGTCGTGGGCCTGGTGCTCCACCAGCATCTCCATGCTCTTCACGTCGGTGCACCAGAACTCCAGACGGTCCTTCATCCCCTTGATCTGAGTGCAAACCAGGACCACAGGCACATTACGGCACTTGGGAATCATAGCACCTGACAAGAGCAGTACTACATTTCCAACTAATTCTTTAGGGCGGCATTAACAAAAAGGACACCACAGCTCGGGGAGCAGTGGGGTGCGTGAGATGGGATTATTCCAGTCAATTCTTATTCGAAGGACATTTAAAAAAAACTTTTATGAAAGAAAACAGGCAAGAATGGGGGGAAATCCACAGGATTAAATTTCCAGCAAATATAAACAAGATGGATTTGAGGTCAAACCATAGAACCAGGAACGTATTTGATCAGGGTACCAATTTTAAGATTAAAAGCCACCATCAGCACAAATAGCATTGTTGCCACAAGAAGCTCTAAATGCAGGGTTCAAATCCCAGGCTTGCGTTAAGTTAGGTTCTTTGAAAAGCCCTTAGTCCCTATAGCAGTAATTCATTCTCTGAAATCTCTTGTCTAATAATGCTTTCTTCCTAAATGGCTTCCAGCCAAATGAAACTAAGACAGCAAGATACAATCCAAAACACCCACAACAGTGAACTCTGTATTTTAAGCACATTACCTGTTGTAAATCCAACACGCGGGGCTGCACCCAGGTCATGTGAACGCGCTTATCCACCTCGTCAATGCTGCCTTTCACCAGCCCCACTGAGAGCGCCTTCATCACCAGCAACTCCACCTGTGCAGACAGGGGCTCGTGTAAAACACCCTAATGCCAGCACGCACGCACCTGTGACCCCGCCACTCTGATATATGGGGAACGAGGCACTCACAGAACTCACACAAGAGTCCTGACCCTGCGGGGGCAGCTTTACTGCTGCGACATCCCAAGTCTAAGAACGCACCTCGTTCACGGTGATTTTAGCGCTTTTGGCAATTTCTTCAAAAGTGAGTTGTCTATGATTGGCAGGTCGTGTGAAAGTCATCTGAAAAAAATTTTTGTTTATTCACTATTTTTCAAAAAAACTGTTAGAGAACTGATTGATGAGGATACTTTTGTCAATACTTGCTCTGAAAATACAGATCTTGTCAGTAACTCACACACCAAAATTTTCTTAGTATTAGTCATGTATCTCATCTAACTAGGAACCAGCTTCTGACTCCTAGATGAGAAGATGAAACAAGTTCCACGGCAGGCTTGTGCAGCGGTCGTGACTCACTTCCCGAGCGAGTACTTGAGGCTGCCGTGTGCCAGGGCCGCACTTGGAGCTGGGAACACCAGGGTGAACCAGGAACACAAAGTCCCCTTCCTCCAGAAGCTGGACTTTTAGATGAGCGTGTAGACAAAGAATGGAAAGTGCAATGAAATGGCAGCCCCTTCAGTGCAGATGGTCAGGGAACATCTCTCTGAGGAGGCCATCTAAGCCGAGACCCAAACACAAACTGAAAAAGGCAAGTGGTGGCAGAGGAAGAAGAGAGGCGGTGGAGAAGGGGCGGGTCAGAACTACCGCCACCGCTGCAGCTGCGCTCCGGAGGGCCATGCGGGTCTGCAGGACCCGACAGGCTCACCTGCAGGGCCCTGGATCACAAAGTACCTCCTGGTTGCCTGCTTACCTCCATGAGGCACAGCAACTGAATCTTCCTCAGAAGCTGGGCTTCGTTGGCTGCTAAATCAGGCTGTAAAGTAAAAAGACATCAGTTACCTAACCGGGGCTTTGACATTCTTCCTAAAATAGTCAACTGAACGAAAAGAAACTGGGCAGCTCCAAACACTTTACACTTTAGGTCACCAGGGCTCATTATTAGCTTCAAGCGACTTGCACTTCACTTTTCTCAGGAAATCATTAGAAGAGCGCTTAGCTGAAGGCCAAAGAACTTTCCAAGGCAAGGAATTGACAAGGTAAGATTTGTACTACTGTCACCAACACCAGGGGCAGGACCGCAGGTGCAGGTGTTTCAGGAAGACTCTTGGCACGAGGAAGGGCAGGGAGGGCACAGCTGACACCCAAGCACATCCGGGTGCACTGCCCGCACCATCAGCCCAGCGTCTAAGGGGCATCTGAGGAACACACTCCTTCAGCTGCAAGACTTTCTCTGAACTGAAAGAACAAGTCATTAATTTGTCAGAAAGAGGAGCACTGTCGTGAGGACGGGAGCACGCCTCCTGCATAACCTGTCTAGTCTCCTTGCAGGGGATCAAAAGGATATTTGCTGAGCACAGAACCAAACCGTGGAGAGTGGCGTCCCTGACTCAGCTGTTCAGCAGCCCCGACAGTGACGCTGCTGCCACAGGCTGTGGACGAGTCAGTTCTTCACAAGGGGCCCCCAAATAAGCTCTTGTGGTCTGCACAGATACTGCTGGCCAGCGCCTTGAAGTTTTTTTTCTTTAAACCTCCATGACGAACCACCTTTCTTTCTGAGTGGCATTTTTCTCTTTGAAATATCCACACACAGACTCATTAAGTTTGGCTGGATCTGCTTTCTGCCTCTTCACAATTATTATCTATTCTGTGCCATTACGTGTGACTCCTACAAGTTTTTCCTGAACTTTGAGAAAATGGAAAGTTCCAGAAAAGTACAAAAACAGTAACACAATCATAATTTCTATCACCATTAACATTTTATTAATATTTGCTTCTAATAATTTCATTTAAAAAGAATAAACTTTATATTTATATATAACTGAATCACTGCTGTATACTTACAACACTATAAATCAACTATACTCCAATAAAGAAATTTTTTAAAAAGAATAAACTTACCATTAAAGTTCAAGACCTTGTTAAGTTCTCTCCTCCCTGATCCCCACTCAACACAGGCCCCTTCCCTCTCCTTGCCCAGCACCCTCTCCTGCTGACCATCCCCACAATGACCGCCCACCCATGCTGATCCCTCTCCTCCACACTGACCCTCCCCGAGTCCACTCCTCCCCCATGCTGACCCCCTCAGCAGTGACCCTCCCACACTGACCCTCATCCTGAACTAACCACTCTCCCCTCTCCACCAGTGCACTGCCCCCTCCCAACCCCATGGTCTCCCCACCATCACTCACTCACTCTCACCTCACGGCCCGACGTCAGTTCACCAATGTGCTGAGAGCCCCTCTTCCTCTGCTAAACATGCTCTTCCCACTCACTACCGAGGTCAAACACAGAGCATCCTTCGGGGAAGCCTCTGGGATACCCTCCACCCAGCACAGATGAAGCTCTGTCAGTCTGTAGCCCTGGGCACTGCTACAGCAGCTGAGCTACGACTGTAAGCAGTTAGCTCCTTAACCACCTGCTCTAGGAGAGCAGGAGCACCTATCTAGCCTCCCCTTGTGCCCAGGCCCGGGGTGTGGAAAGATAAGTGGACAGGCCACAGCTGCACGAGAGCCTGCTCTAGGGAGTGGCCAGCCAGCCCTGCCCAGGACTCACCTGCTGGCCCCATGCGGTCTTTAAAATCTGGAACCTCTCCACATTGCCGCTGTTAAAGGCGTAAAGGGTGTCAATCAGCCACTGTCGGTCAGTGTTCCTCAGCGATTCCAGTACCGGGTGCATGAGCTGTGAGGATGGAGATGATGAGCTGACAAAAAAAATTCAGTCTCCCCTTTGTTAAGGAATCTGCGCCCCGGGCCCACTTACGAGTTCTCCAAAGTTAAAAACTCCCTCGCCGAGAAGTCCTGCCAGTCCCAGCGTGAAAGCTCTCTCCTGCTGCTCGGACACTACGGCAACAACACATTCCAGTTCCAAGAATCAGTCCTGTTTGGCTTCAGAAATCTCACATAAAAAGTAAAGAAACGGGTGGGGGTGGGGGAGGTGGGCAGGGCATAGCTCAGAGGCAGAGTGTGTGCTTAGCACATGGTCCTGGGTTCAAACTCCAGTACCTCCATTTAAAAAAAAAGTAAAGAAAACATTCTCTGAAATGGTTATATTACAAAGCCCTAACATTAGTCTTCTCTTTTAAAGTACTGGATTGACTTAGATTATACCTGGAACCATATATACGAGTTTTGTGAGAAAGATGTTATTTATTTGTCCCTAAACCTATGTGACTATACACTTTCAGCCTACCTATGGCCTGGAGGAGTGTTTCTTACACCCCTTGTCTGCTGTGGGTAGAGTCACCACATTTAGCCTCTTTTGACTAGAATTAACCTACTTTCTGTTCCTTTGTTCTCTTGATCACATTAGTTACTGTTTCCAACATGTTTTTCTTAAGATGTGGCAGTTAAAATTGCACTAACAATTTTAGGAGCTGCTCAACAGTATACTGTGAACAAACATCTAAAATAGGCTAAAATTTCTTTTCTTAACTCATATTCCTTGCACTTTTCCTGAAAGTCGCTAATCACTTTTCTTTCCACCCTCAAATCCTTGAAATGTTTGTGCAGTGCATTCCCCGAGGTCTAGCATTTCAGTGTTCAGAACCAGGGGCCCAGGCACAGGGCGCAGGGCACTCATGTCACTGTACTTCTCACAAAGACCCAGAAAGAGAACAGCAAAGGGGTTCCGAGGAGTGAGCCTCATTTTCACCTGCACTAAACACTGAAGACAAAACAACACAGAAACTAAAGCTCACACCACTCTCCCCACCCTCCAGCCACAAGGGCCTTCTTCTGAGGGGAATGAACACATGCGAGTGGTTTCTGAGACCTGCTGCCTCAGCACCTCATAGCTGCAGTGTGATGTGAGGAGCTCCTCGGTGACACAGACCTTAAAGGCATGCTACCTGGCAGATCCTTGATGTCCACGCAGCCCAGAAACCGGAGAGCATCTTTGTAGTAGGAGGCGTGGTTTCCAGTGGTTTGATAGTATTTACTGGAGAGGTCGTAGAAACGACTGTGAACAGACGTCACACCAGGAAGGCTGTTGAGCATTTCTTCCACATCTTCGATTGTTTCCTATACACGGGAAGCAAGACAGCCTTTCTTTTTAACTTAACGCATTTTTAAAGTAATATATGACAAAGTGAAAAGTATAAGCCGCACCAACTGATGAATTTGACCATATTAAAATGGAAAGCTTCAGTTCATCCAAAACAAAGGAAAAAGGACAAAGAAAAGCTATAAACTGGGGAAAGACATTTAAAGCACACACAAACCACAGAGCAATACAACCAAAGCTCAAAAAACAACTCTTACAAGTCAACAGAATACAAGCAACACAAAGTGGGCCCAAAGAAGATAAGAACAGGCAATTTACAGAAGTAATCAAGAAATCACCAGTAACCAAGAAACGTAAATTAAACCTTCAAAGAAATACCATGTCATCTCAACAGATCGGCAAGAACTAAGCAGTCAGAAGATACCAAGCGTTGAAGACACGGAGCTTGCAAGGTGCTGCGTGACCCACCTGAGAGAAGCATTTGGGAATATCTGGCAAAGGTGGAGAGCACACGCCTTACACCTGTAGTCTCACCTCCAGGCACAGACCCTGGAGAGATTCTGCCCACGTACACCAGGAACCAGGCATAGAGATGCTGATACCAGCATGTTTGTAACAGAAGAAAATCACCTGAATCCCTTCAGTAAAAGGGAACCAGTTACACCTCTCAACACGGTGAGTTTCAGCCCCAACACCCGCCAGTACGTGAGAACAATACCAAGTGTCGCTCAGAGCCTCCCCACGTGGAGGGAAGCAGCAGCAGTGCGTGCAGAGGGAATGGGGTCTGAGGGCCCAGAGGCATCGGTGTGCTACGCTGCTTCAGTCCTAAGCTGGCTGTGGATGTGGACGCCCATTACAGCATCATTTACGGTGTTTGAGAGCTTTCAGTATGCCCTAAATATTTCAGAACAATATGCAATAAGTATGCATGTGGGCTAGGACTGGGAAACAACAAGAAACAATAAAAAGTAATGTTTTTAAAGGCAAAAAGAACACGAACACTGACCCTCAATATTTTAATATTATAGTTACCAAAAGCCCCAAAACCAAACCGAAACAAAATGAACACATGTAAGTCTGGTTAAACAGGATGGACTGACCACATAAGTCGGTCTGCTACCCACATCCACACCTGTCCCCCAAGTCACACCATAATGAAAATCAGAAAGGCATAAACACAGGCAGGAACGTCAAAAATGATCAGGAAGCAGAGAGAGGGTGAGGGAGCAGCAGATGACCTGTCAGTGGTGAGGAGGCTGGCCCTGGTCATCGAGGACCCACATGCTGTGGACCAGCCGAGGCTGTGTGGGCTCCTGCTGGATGGATGTGCTGAGGTCATATGGGGGAGTACTCTCTGCTTAAGGGTAACAGGCATCTTGTCAGCAACTGACTCTTAAATGGTTTTGAAATTAAAAAAAAAAAAAAGCCACACATTCACACACAAACACACACACAGAATGACAGGGCCAAGCAGTGAAATGTTAACGATGGAAATCTGAGGTAAGAGTAGAGGAGAGTTCTTTGTGCTATTTTTGCAACTTTCCTGTAATTTAAAATTATTTAAAAAAAGTTACATGGGAAATAGAGTGATCTCACCTTTGTAACTTGTAGGTCCCCAATGTTTAATTTCAGAGCTCCAATTGCAGTTTTACACAGGATCACCGCCTCATCACTGCTTTTCACCTAAAGACACCAGAAGCAAGGGACCCTCAGAAGTGTGGGCAGCAGACTAATAAGGAAGGCATCTGTACACTGACTGAACTTGCATGACTAGAGACATGTTGGTCTCCAGAGGTGTGGACAGTGAGCAGGCACCAAATATAAGCCACACATTTTAAAAAAATCTGACTCAAACTTCACATTTACCTTCTCACGAGTCTTTTCCAAAAACGTAAGAGCCACATTAGGATCTAGAAAAGAGAGAACAAACTCAGAAGAACCAACAACAGAGTATCTTTACAGATCTTCTACCAACCAGGACATTTTTACGTGGAATTATCTTAGGGTTAGACCACAAAATATAAAACTTAGAATTTGATATTTTCTATCAAAATGCAAAAATTCATTTAACTTATACATTAAGATAATTTTAATTACCATTAGGATCTCCTTCTTTATGAAACAAAGTGAGACTCACCAGTCATCTGTCTAACTACATGAAGAATGATTTCTACCAGGGACAAAGGATTCACCCTGAAATAAAAATCACCAGTCTTTGAGCGACAACAAGTATAAACGTATTCATTTTCAAAGTCAAAAACTGACGAAAGAGTTTTACCTGTGTTCAAATTCACTGATGAAATTTTCATAGAGCTGTGGAACCGAAACATGGAGAGTAATTATAGGTTGCCTTCCATTTGGCAAAAGCAAGGCTTGGAACACTCCCACGATGCCCGTCACGTCGTAGGCATTGTGTAATTGTTTGCTGAATGACAGGAGACTCATACTGCATCTTACTAAGTTCACATAAATGATCACCAATAAATTACTGAGGAAAGCTAGGATTTCTTTTGCCCCCTCCTCCACTTGGCTTTGCAAATAGAACCCTACCCCATAAGAATCTCCTGAAGACCAATTCCTCTATTTGACCTGCAAAGTACTCTGAGTAAAACAGCCTGTCAGTTTGAAAGGTTCACTCATCTAACAGAGGTTAGAAGGTTATAGATTAATTATGTCCCATTACCAAATACTTCAGCCATTCAGCAAACACTTGAGCACTTTTCAGGCTCTTTGCTAGGTACTCCAGACAAAGAACGTGGAAGACAAAAGCTGGGCTTTTGAGGAGCTTCTAGTAGAGAAGAGAGACTTGTAAACAAATAAATGACAATACTGTGAGTTTAAAAGCAAAGAAGAAAAGCACATAGGTGGATCAGCCAAAGGGAGAGGCTTCAAAGGTGATGTCAGAAATGGTAACAGCTGAGTTTTAAGGAAGGAAGAGCATTTAGAGAAGTGGACAAATATGATGTGGGAGAGGGGCAGTTGGGAGAACATTTCAGACAGGAATAAATGTGTGCAAAAGCACTGCATTATGTTTTAGAAGAGCTTCTGAAGGACACAGAGAGTGGGAGGCACTGGGCTTGGTCTCTGTCCTAAATTCAAGGCTAAACCAGTGGACACACACAACCACACTTCTATTTTAGACACATGACTGGAGGCAGAGCGGATAGCAAGGGAAAAGGCAGAAGGAGAGACCAGATGAGATGGGAAAATGAGGGAGCAATGGCAACGAGGATGGACGGAGACTCTGAGAGAGATCTGCGGGTAAGTTGAGCCAGACTTGCTCAGATGTGGGCAGGTCAGTGAAAGGGAACTGACAGTGACCTCCGAGCTTATGGCTGGGTAACTGGGTGGGCAAAGGAAGTGCCCACTGTGGATAAAGCTGGGATAGGGAACCTCTGGATGAGGTCAACTTCAGATAAGAGGAGTCTAAAATTTCTCTGGGAGATGAAGACAGAAATGTCTCAGTGAAAGAAAATGTGGTGAATGTATGCACAGTGGAATATTACTCAGCCATAAAAGGGAAAAGTCTACCATTTGTGACAACATGGACCTTGAGGGCATTATGCTAAGTAAAATAAGTCAGACAGAGAAAGACAAGTACTGTTTAATCTCACTTATATGTGAATCTAAAAAAAAGAACTCATACTAACAGAAAACAGATTGGTGGTTGCCAGAAATGGGGGTAATGGTGCACAAAATGGGTGAATGTGGTCAATGGGTGAATGTACAAAGTTTCAGTTATAAGATAAGTAAGCCTGGGGGTATAATGTACAGCGTGGTGACTGCAGTTAACAATACTGTATGGTATATTTGAAAGTTGCTAAGAGAGGAGATCCTAAAAGACAGAAAAATCTGTAACTATGTGAGGTGATGTAAGTTAACTAAACTTGTGGTAATCATTTTGCATATATACGTGTATCAAATCTCTATGTCATATATATTAAACTCTACAATGTTAATTGTCAATTATTTGTCAGTAAAACTCAGGGAAAATAATGTCCCTATAGCAGCTAGCTAGATATTTAAATCAGGCACCCAGCAAAGAGCCATTTAAAGTAAGTGGCTTTTTCATTATAGAGGACTATTTAAAAGATATCTTCCTCATTAAGAGGAAACATTTCATCTTTTCTGGTACCTATTATAATTTACGAAATTACCTAAAGAAAAAAAACCCTCTTAGGCACAAAGTCCACTAAGTGTAGTGGACTAACTGAAAATTATTTCTGGTGATTGCAAACTCATGAATATTACAGATGGAATAAAAAGCACATTAAAAAAATTAACCTCTATGAGCTTAAAGTTAAATAAAATATATTAAAAACAAACAAAAATTTTGTATTTTAAAGCAGGACAAGAAAAACTACACATAAACTTCTCTCTGTGTTTCTCTGGGCACCCTCCCTCCATCTCTTCCCCGCTCCTTTCCCCTCCCTCCCTCACATGCACTGTGCATCTGCATCACACGTCAGCAACATGAGAGGCTCTGCTCCTCCTTAAAGATCAATTTTTTCCCTTTTTCCTGACGATGTACTTCTTAAAGGAACAGCATTTGTTCCCAAGCTCTGTGGGGTCGTGGTCACTTGCTGCTCTCTTTGTACGTGCTTCCTGGACTGCGTATCTTTAATGAACTTTATGTAAAATATCAGTACGTCATTTTGATGTACTATCCTTTGTCTCAAGAATGTACACGACTATGCATCTGACTGGGGCTTAATCTCTTTCCTAACATGCGGAACAGTTTTCCAAGCTTTCTGAGAGTCTGCCTCTTGCATTATAATCTTCAAATTGGCTTGAATAAAATTCCCTTTCTTCCTCCTTGATAACTGAATTTTGGCAATATTATCAATCTGAAAGTGATGAGGGCTGGGTCCCAACAATTTTTAAAGGTTTATTTTGTTCAAGGAAATAGTAAACTTAAATCTGCTGCCCTGAATAAATGTCACACAACCACAAGGCTGAGGAAATATTTTGATATAAGTAGAAAGTGATTTAAAGATAAGAAAGCAAAGAATAGATGTGAACACTTACAAATTATCCATCACTATGATATAGAACCTTAGGGAACAAATATTAAGACAGCTCTAATTTATCATTTTCCCACATAATTAAGAAGACAGCATGTCCAGCAAAATCTCCAGGATTACAGATGCTTATAAGTTCCTCTGAGTAGTAAAACGCCAAACTGATGGATACAAACCATAAAAAAAATCTTTGAAGCCCAGATGATGGGATAATAAGGTGGTAGCTTCACTGTGAACACATATGAAGTAACGTATTCAGGGCAAATAACTCAAACTATCATCATAACTAGCTTTCAGTTCCAATGCAGGTATCAACCTCTGATTCATTCAGAATCCAAGAAAAAGGCATCAAAGAGAAAGATGTCAGGAAATACTTCAAAGAGTAGGCTACCAGTGAACAAACCTGTGGGAGTCTGTCAGGGGGTCTGGGAAAGGGTGGGGCAGGGAGTGTTCCTCTCCTGACAAAATTCTAAAGGCAGCGTGATATTACGTAGCATTCCCCCTCCAAACCTTCGGCCCTCAAGTGAAGCACATTTTCCACGTTGCCCAGAACAAAGTGTTTGGGCAAGCAAGCAGTGGGAAGAGGGAAAAGGAGTGATGGCAATTATAACAGTTTTCCATGAGTACAGTGCTAAAAGAAGAAAAGGAAAGGAAAGGAAAACCTATAAACAATAAGACACGGGGCATGTTAAGAGATAGCATTTTAGGCTGAGATTTTAGAAAAAGCCAGAATGTGTTTTAATCCTCTTCTGACACTTATTAGCTGTGACCTATGGCAAGTCACTTAATCTCTTGGCATCTGCCTCTACATCAAAAAAACAGGACAGCAGTAGTACTTATCTCCCAATGTTGTTACAAGAAGTAAATGTGTAAAGCACTCAGAACAGTATCTGGCACAAAGTGATTGATGAATGGACTTATTATTATGTATATATTATTATAAAGCCCATGTATTATTTTAAAAAGTACTTGAGCACATTTACTCAGACTTAGCATGGCAAATCATTTACCTTAATGAGACCATCTCCTTGGGCAAAACATGGGTCTTGCACAAAATCAAGAACCTGAAGTGTCAGTTGATGCCACAACCTGAAAAACACAAGGCTCTTAAGACCTATGATCTAGAAGTCACAGACATCTTCACCCTTGATGATCTTACCAAATAACAAATACTAACCTGTCTCTACTGTGTAACAGAAGAATGCAAAAGCAGATGCTAACAAAGCTGAGTTCTTTTCCTGGCTCTGTTACTCAATGGTTATGTCATCTTGAGATCACTTAACCTCAGTTAAGACTCAGTTCTCTCAGCAAAGAATGGAGAACATCTTTCTGGACTACCTCAAAAGGTTATCGTGAGGTTTGACTGGAAACAAGAACTTTGGAATCATATATATCTAAGTTGAAATCCTGACTCTTCTACTTATTAATTGAGTATCTCAGGGAAGGAGCTTAATCTGAGCTTTCGTTCCATCCTGTGAACAGGATGAAGGATTAAATGAACTAATACAGAAAACCTCTAGAACAACAGCATAGCACATCTGAAACCAAAAGCAAAATTTTAAGAATGCAAATAAAATGCTTTGTAAAATACAAAGAGCTACACAACACAAGCAATTATTTGCCAAACACTAATAATTTTCTCTCAAAAATTGCTAACAGCAGTAGGCTGCTGAACATCATCAAAAACACGTATTAAATATCTATGTGAAGGCTCTATGCTAGGCTAGGGTTGTTAACAGGGAGGTATTACAAGAAGCGTATTTCCCTTCAGAATGTTGCTAACCCAATGCTAGCAATTCATTCTATTCACTTAAAAAGGGGCTGGTGCTTAGCAATTGATAATTTAATTGTTCTCAAATTTACCCTGTTTCCTAACAAACCCAAACTCTAAAATTTCTCTAGGGACACAAAGCCCAATGTGAAATGCAATGAAAAGTGGGGACTATGGGAGAGGGGTGAAATGGTTGCACTCCAGCGTGTAACAAGAGGAAGAATCAACAAGGAAAAATAAAAAACAACTGCATTGGCCTCTGTCTGTTCATCTGTTCCAGACTGTTGAGAAAGATAACTGTACATACAGTCACACTATGACAAGGCTAAGTACAAGACACTGGTATCTGTTATACAAAATGTATGGCAGCCGGACCCCTTGTTTGACTGGAATCAAAAGCTACAATCACAGGCCAGCCCCGAACACTTTCCCTAAGACCAGAAGGAAGGGGAGTTCCGAAGGCCTTCGGCCTAGAAGGCAGTGACTCCTAGACCCCAAAACCCTGTCTGTGGGCTGTCAACTCTCTCCGTCCTCGGTCCTGCCTTCCGGGTTCCCAGCGCACCGCCTCGGTCTAGCCTGTCCCCACTCTCCCCATACGAGTCTGGGCGCCCTCAGTCCATCAAAGTCCCGGGCTTCCCCGTCGCCCCGCCTCGCTCTCCTATCCCCACGGCTCGGCACTCACTTCTTCGTGTAGAGCTCCTCCAGACGGTGCCATACGGCGGCTTGGCCGGGCCCGGAACTCTGGCTCTGCTGTAAGAAGCCGGGTACGTCCTTCATGACGGCGGGAAGACGCGGACAGCGGTACCGCCGGGATGTTACGGGCGCGGGGATGGCCGCCGGAAGTGCTCACTCATTTCCGGCCGGCGCCACGTCGCGCGGGGCAGGCCGGGAGTGGTGCCGGGGTGGGGCCGCTGGTTGTCTTGGTAACCGCGCCTCTGGGTTTCGACCAAGATTTCCCTCCAGCTGGCCGTGCCGTTGAGTCGTTCGAGTTCCTGGGTCGACCCGGCCGTCGACCAGCTGCGTGGCCTCGGCCTTTGTGACCCAATGTTTCTCGTCTCAATTGGGGATGATAACAATAGTACTTTCCTCGTAGTGTCTGCGAGGACTAAGTGTAAATATGATGCCTGACCATAGTAAGTGCTCCCAAAGTGTTAGTTATCATCGCCATCTCAACTGAGAAAAGTGGGGAGCGAGGGTAGAGAAATGAAGGCTCCTGGTTTGGTCTCCGGGACGAGAGGCCGGAGCTCGAGAGACTGGAAAACCTCCCCCACCTAGCGTCCACCTCCACTTGGTTGGCCCGGGCTGGTTAAGAGCTGGAGCGACAGGCCAGGGTCCGCCGGGGGCGGGGGCGGGGGCGG